TTGACCGAGAGACCAAGGCCCACTACACGCTGCTGGTTATTGCCGTCGACTCAATGCCTCCGCCGCCGCCGCTGCCGTCCGGCGCGGTTCAGGCCTCCGCGGGCGAGTTCGAGTCCGTGGCCGAGTCCGAGTCCGAGTCCGGCGGCGCTGGCGTCTGGCAGTCACTGTCGGCCACCGCCACGGTACTCATCAGCCTCACCGACGTGAACGATAATGCTCCGGTCTTCCGCCAGCCGAACGCGTCTGCGGCTCCCGCCGTCATTCGGGTATCGCAACGTGAAACCGTCGGGCAACAGCTGATGCGTGTCGAGGCCTGGGACCTGGACGAGGGCGAGAACGCCCGTCTGACGTACCGAATCCGCGTTGAGGTACCGACGCCGCCCGACGGACCCGGAATGGGCTTGTTCGCCATCGATGAAACGAGCGGTGCCATCTTCCTTGCCAGGTGGGTTAGAAGAAGCTTGATTGACAAAGTTTAATTGTATTTTAGATACAAACAAATTCCGTGATTATCAGTAGACCTTGGCTCCGAATTAAGTTAGTCTACGCCGCTTAAGGTGATTAATTTATTATTCACTATTACTGATAGTATCAAAAACTACTTTTGTGATAAAATTTCAACATCACAATTGCAATGGAAAATACATGTGAGGACGATTTTATGCAGACATTTAAAGAAACTGACTGACTATTGGAAATATTGAAGGGAGAATTCATATCGAATTGCTGGACTGATAGGTCAACAGAGTATTAGAGAAGAGAACCTTTTGGTGAGTTTTGATGTGGTGACAATGTATATGAATATTCCACTTCAGAAAGCAAATAAGGCAATAGCCCTCAGCTGGAATGAATATGCAGATAATATGGAGGAAGCAAATTTAAGCAAAAGCTCAATCTTAAGGCTACTTGATCTATCCATAAGTAATAAATACTTCACATTTGATAATATTTTTTATCAAAAGGCGCAAGGCCTGGCAATGGGATCTTGTTTAGCTCCCATTTTAGTGGATAATCACATGTCAAGAATGAAGGAACGTTTCATGAAAGCGGTAAAATTGACATCAAAACTGTTAGTTAGTCATATGACAGCATGGTAAGGATGGTTTAGATAATTTATTATTTTTAATTAACCAAATTGATTGTTATGTTAAGCTGACAATGGAACTAAAGAAGGACAATAATTTACCTTTTATGGATGTTTTAGTGATCAGAGCATGTGCGAAGTTAGGCGGTATGTATATAGAAAGCCAACATAGGCTGGCTCTTCCTTAATTTCTTCTCCAACCATAGTTACAAAACAAAGTTTGGTGTTTTAAAATCTATTACTATACGGTGCATAAGACTAACTGATATCGACCATTGTTATAATGAACTGGGTAGGCTCAAACTAATATAAATTGTGAATAATTATCATCTTGGTCTGATGGAATATAATATTCGATTAATAAAGAAGACTTTTTTGAATAGTGAATAGGCAAGGAGAGATAAGCAGACCTCTCTAAAATGATAGGCAAACTAGTAGGGAAATGATGAATAAAAACAGTTTTCTGGGAAACTTCAACACTTTCTTTAGTTATGCTCATCTTTAGAGAGAAAGCTCATTCAGTATAAAAATCGAGTTGCAATAAAGTAATGTGTACATGTGTTCGCTTTTATATTGGAGAGACTCTTCGTCCCATTCGACAAAGGGTGGCTGAGCATAAAAGCGCCTGTAGTGGCTGTTGCATTCAAAACTCAGCACTAGCTAAGCACAAGGCAGAAAGTGAACATGAGACCAAAAGGTCTCAAATTTATCGTTTTACTGATTATAATTAATTGCAAGCATCC